CACATTAATTAGCGAGAAGTTTGGTCTCAGAAACAGAGCAGGTTCCTTGAACTGAGTTCAGTTACTTCTCAGCTCCTGTCAAGAAATCGCCAAAACGTTGGCTTCACGACAAATGACTTAATCAAGGAGGTTAATGTTTGTGGTAGATCGCTCCACTCACTTTTCCTGGTATTGGCCCGCCATGTACGAGGTCAGTGGATTCGCAGGGCTCGTAGCTGCTGCAGCGAGCCACTCTCTCTGGCAACAGTGCACGGAAACGAAGCTGGAGCACCAGGGTGGTGGCCAGTTTCTCTTGCCCCATACTCAAGGTGCAGCATTCGTTCCGATAACAAAATCCACAGTGAAGATCCAGTCAGTGGTATGGGTATGATACCAGATAGTCGTAATTTGTGGAACATAAGGTTCCGGTGTCCAAGGATTGACGATCAAGTTAGCAGTCCGCGAAATGATGCTTTAGAGAAGAGTTTTTCGCGGAAGTGGATCTAGACGCCAGGTTTCAAAGAAGTACTGTCCTGTGCAATTTCTGAAAGACGGCGAGTGTACAAACGGGGCAGGGGTTGGACAACAGCCAATCGGTTGTATACACGGTTCCACCAGCGACCTACGAACAGCCGAGTCGAGATTGCCCCACGTGATGCTCGAAGAGCAGCTTGTAAACATCACTTTTTGACGCCTGGATGCTATAAATAGCCCTGTGAACGGCTGCAAATCAATGCATCACAGTTTATATCACTGAAGGTCAGCGTCCGGGTCGCAATCAGTTAGACCCATTTGTGGCCTACCACTACTGGTTGTTTCTTTCCGCCGCGCTGCGGTCGCCGCCCCCGACTCCTTGCAATGTTATGATAACAGCTCCAAGGTGGCTCCAACCGCTTTCCAAGGCGGAGTGCTACACCGTTCATCCCGCTCACTAGACTGCTGTCAGCGCCATGCGAGCTCGGGTGCAGACCTCAGTAGAATTAGAAGGAAGAAGGTGTAACTCAATTTTTACATCTCACCATAGTCAGCGCCACTCCCACCATCCTGGTCAGCAATGTCACAATTTCACTTTTTCTGGATGCTGGAAGAAGGACAGGCAGTGCCCCACGCTCACGTCATTTTTGGGAAGAGAGCAGTCATGCTTTGAAGAATGCAACCCAAGGGAAGGATGTGCCTCTTATTAGGCGCCTCCGATAGTATTGTGTATGCACCCAGTAATGGAACTCCTCTATGAGATGATTTCTCGAACTCAGGACCATTCGACAGCTGAGCGCGTTCCATGTGTTATGATGGTCGTTTTTTGTTTCTGCTGATTACAATTTTCTTGTTGTTCCTGATCATGTGGACGTTGGCCACGTGAAAACATAAAATTTTGAGAGATTGATTAACCCAGCAGTCTTATTTATCTGGGAGGGTTTCTAGTACAAATTTTTTCATTTCAGTAGGCCGTTTCGGAAAGAGGTTTTCCGAAAAAAAAAACTGAAGCCTAGTAGCAGAGAGATAAATGCTCCTGTAAAGTGGACGAGATTAGAAGACGAGAAACGTGAGATTACTCGTGAGGTTGTTCTGTATGCAAAAATTGATTCGATTAGGAGAGGGGTGATTTCATTAGCATATATATGAGCAGTTCACTGCCAACCGCGCACGCATCCTAAACTGCACTTGGATGAGGCAGTGGAAGGGTTCCGGTCGGGGAAGGGGGATAGAAAGAAGTGGTTTCGTTGGCGGGCATGTTATTTGTTGGTTGAGTCAGGTGAACAGCTTTCTAAGATGGAGAGGCCACTTGTGAGACGCGTTGACTCTCTGTCATTAGCCGCGAAGTGGTGAGCTTTTCGTCTCCACGCTTAATTTTTTCCTCTTCAACGAGGGAGGGGGGGGGGGTGGGAGGGGAAGAAGGGTTGGGAAGCAAGAAGTCAAGAAACACTTGTGAACAATCTCGGGATCACTTGATTTTGAATGGAAGCAGTGTAGCTGGTATTAGTTTACCCTCTCGGAGCGTCCCTTTTGGGCTCAGGCAGAGGTCCTCATCGGTATTGCAGCAGTCAAAGTTTCGCTCGAGGACTTATCCCACCAAGAGAGCCTGCGTCACACTGCTCATGGTGAGGCGGTCGTTTCTGTGTAGCAGGTTGATGTAACGCAGAGTGAGGATTTTGCTTGAGCCAAGTTGCAAATGGTATCCTGGATATCTAATTCAGTTCGTGCAGTAAGCTTTTTGGAGTTGGAATTGGTGATTTTTTACAGGGGTTTTACCCTGAGGAGCAGTGAGAGGAAGCTGAGCTTGTCCCTCCAGTGGAGTAGGGAGAAATGAAGACGGAAGGAAGGAGAAACTCATGGAGCTGCTCTAAGCTGTTAAAGGCACATTCCGCGATAAAATAAGGCTATGACCTCTCAAATGTGTCGGACGATCCGGAAGGCGATTTTTGAGGCTGCGCTACTTTCAAAATGTGAAAAACGGCAAGAACTCCGCTAGAAGCTGACTAATTAGGCCCATGGACACCCCTTAGGCCCATGCCGACCCTCACCGGCTGCTAGCTACTAGCTAGTATTCTTTCTCCTATACCAATTTCAGGACTGCGTCGCGAACTGTGCCTTTAAGTTGAAACGTCCTAATTTAACGCTTCGCGCTTTGGAAGATGGCTTTTAAGTTGGAAGCTGTTAAGGATAAGGTGCTCACCAAATGCCCTCTTCCTTCTTGCCTTCCTCTCCTCCACCCTTCCAAACCTTGATTGAGACTGCCCCAATTTAAATCAGAAGAATAATTCGCAAGACAATCGTGATAACATCTCGAGAATCTCTTCTTGGAGGGGTTCTAGGGTCTTTCTGGCATGTCCTCTAATGAATGACCGGCAATAAAAAATCTTGTGCAGGTCCTTGTTTGTCGGACAACTGCCCTAGTTGTCCAGGAATGGACTTTGTTCACGCCAGCCATTCTGGGATTCGCTGGGAAAGAGAGAGACTTCAAAAGGGAATCCTATCGATTGCATTTAATTATATGGAGACGCCCTTCCGATTCTTGAAAACGTCATCAGTTATCAGGCAACCAGTGGATTTTGTTTGTCATAGAAAGATGTGGCCATCTCGCCGTTACCTATCTCCAATGCAGACAAGAAAATGCCCACTCAGCAGAATTTCTTTATCATTAGAAGTCAGCTTTATCAGCTAGTTCGATTAGCTAATGACTCAAAAAACAAAAAAAATATCGAAAGAAGTGAAAGGCCCTCCACCCAAATTCCAACCTTAGAAAATGTGACGCCAAAGCTTATCTGAGAACCGAATACCACTCCGGTGCTCGCTCTGATAGTTCCAAAACTAGAACAATTTCAAACCCTGGAGTCTACGCACAAAGGGATCAGGAACGGCGTTGGGCAGTGTTTGAGGGCAGTTGGGCCCCTGGAACCTTGGTGCGCTTGCCATAAAAGCCCCACAGAGTCGGCTACAGCGTCAAGTATTAGAAACGGCCACCAGGTCATACCCCACCACCTCATACTCGTTAAGGTAACGTCATATGTTTTCGTTTACCAGAGGGGTTTTCAGCGCGACAATTTTAACGTCTCCCCGGCACCCTTATATCACTGCCACCCTTATATCACGGAGCAAAACACTTGGCGTTCGTGCTACATGCGCCCAGCTGAGCGTTTCTCATAAAACCTTGACGCATTCAATCTGATCCCCTTCGCCCTCCAACTTGAATTTCGAGACTTTTTTCAACGCGTGAGCAGCTTCCAGCCATGAAAGCACCTGCCCAGCAGTCGTTCCTCTCGACTCAATTCGCACCTAGCACTCTAGCCGGCCCCACTTTCACCACCCAGGTCGGCACACCCCAGTTTTACCAACTTCGACACTTGACAGAAACGAAGGATTTTCCCCCTCGCTCTAAAAAAGAAGGAAGGGGCTGTAGTTCGGACTAGCACTTCAAAAGGAGGCTGTTCTCCACCTTTATATGCCCTTCGATTTCGTTGTGTATTCGCCAATCCTTCATAGCCTGTGGTATCAAGAGGACCACTATCCTCGTTCGGGAAGGCTTTTCTTGGCTGCTGGGTGGGTGGAGAACCGAAACGCTGAACTTACACCAGCCCGTTGAGACACGTCCCCCCACAAGTGAAGTCCCTCCAAGGCCAAAGGTTGCCTATGCAACACTGAGCAACGCATAAGTATCCTTTAATGAAATCAAAATCGCACCGTTAGGAACAACATTGAACCAATGTCGTGTATTTTAGGGAGGCAACCATATTTGCCTTGAAACATTCGAACAATTTCAAACACCGGAACAAATTCCTTAAATTGTTCAAAAAGCAACCTCCATCCCCTCCTCCGAACCTGAAGTCAAGAATAGCCGCTGGGAAAGCCGTTTCTCAGGAGCTATCCACATTCATGTTGATTTACCGATTCTTTTGATAGGCTATTACACTCTATTTTATTCCGGCGGAGCAATGACTTGGTAAGATTATGGCATAGCGCTACAAAAACCTTCCAATCACGTCGCAGAACTGCCTCCTGGTGATGTGCACGCGCATAGAGGAGTACAGTGTCGCGGACCTCTAAGCTTACTGTGACGTTTACGTCTGTGGAAAGTGTGGAACGACTGTGTGTCAAGCCACCCATACTGTCACTTGGAGTAACCCTGCTAGCACTGAGCCTCCAACTAATCAATACCTATCTCTCTCGTGTCCTATCAAAAGGAACACAATGATCAACGACAGTTTAGTTATAGAAATTTATTCGAAGAGCTGCAATTGCTCAACTCTGTAGCCGATTATTCATAGAACAATTCAGCTTACCGACAAATTGAACACATTATATAATTATAAAAATTCAATATAAATTAAATCAGCGTGATCTCAGAAAAGAGCTAACTAGAAGACGAGGTCACGTACACGTATGATATTAGGCGAAAGATGTACAAGAGACGAGACGAGAAATGGCACCTAGAAAAACGCGACGTTCAACACCGCATCACCGGGAGTGGGGAGGCGGGGATGGAGATCGTCGTCGGTCGTGTTGAGACCCAAACAGGGCCAAATTTAGTCTTCAGACTCTTCTTCGATATCGAATAATTGCGGTGAAGGCGGTCGAGAAGCGGGTCGCTTTTTCGACGATTTCACCACTGGTCGCAGATTCGTCAATAGTGGTGAAGTGATGTGGCGAAGCAACTGAAAAATGGAAAAATCAGTGAAAAATCGGCAAAAAAGTCATCAGAAAAGGTGAAATTCCCTTGGACCTTACGACGTAAGCCTGCCCCAGATCGCTCCTCTCACCGAAATTACCCAACTTTTAGCATCCTTTCTCCCGCTTTCCCTCGTTTTTATACTGCGCAAATCAAAACTGACTTGTAAAGCGCTACACAGTTTGACCACACAGAAGAGAAACGCTGCCCCTCCCAGCAATTTAACTACGACCCCCCTGCCCCTATCTCTCTCCCGTTGGAGAATCCAACGACAACGGGCTGTAATCGATACACAACTGTGCTGCTGCTAACCAGTTATTGCCCATCCCAAGCGGCCTTTTAATCGCAATAAAACAAATACTCGCAGTGACAAGGTGCTGAAGTGATACCGTCCCACCCCGGGACCTTCTTGGGGAGTCAACAGTTCGGAAGAAGGAAAAACAACTGATACGAACCTTCATTTCAATCTCGGCTATGCTTGATCGTTTTCGTGATGATGACGATCGTTGTTGTTGTTGTTGCTTTTCATGAAGTTGGTAGATGGACGTCCGTGATTCTTCGTCACCACAAACGCCCATCACACAGAATACCGTAATCCAAAATAGTTGGACACACCAATCGTGCAATCGGCTTATAACGGCCAGAGCAACCACTTGGGTCATATCGGATTTAGCGAGCTGAAAATGGGCGATTTAGAAACGAGCCATAGACAGAACAATGAGAAAGTCTTCAAATTATCGATTTTACGCCTCTGGTATGGGGGCATGCTTTGAGGACTCATGGGAATAATCACTTTTTAAGGAAAAAACAGTGAGATCATGAGAGTTTTTGCGGAAGCTGCAAAGAAAAACGACGAAGGAAATCAAGAGAGATGATGATATCTGGGTTGGTCGGGGTTTGAGCCCAGAATCCCAGACCCAATAGGCCTCAACCTCTGATAATAGGAAGGATCCAAAGAGATAGACCACCCTGAGAGCGGTTGACAGGGAAACGGCTGAACGCCACCTAATTGATCAGAAACGGCCAGAGGTTATCGATCTGCAGGCCAGAAGTTGTGGTCCGGTAGATCGGTAATCCCTACCCATGAAATCTACCCATGGAGAAAAAAAACACGTGGAAACAATGAGACAGCCGGGAAAGCTGTCCATGCCAGCTAAATGAGGGCTTATAACCCCTGGCAATGGTGAGGGTGGTATCAGGGGAGGGAACTAGTGGGTGGAGCAACCAGAAGCATAAAATATTCGAAAAAAAAACGAAGAGCAACGAAAAATACCTCATTTTTCGGCCGACTTGTCGATGCGACGGTGTCGAAACACATGGAATTCGTCGAGACTTCTATCATTCTGAGTAGATTACCGGGAAGTAGATCAAACCGGTTCGATTAAAGCACAGCTTAGTTTACACGTACGATTCACGTGAGAGAAATGCGTGGCCAAGTGGATGGGAGCGCGACGGGTTTTTATAGCAGATCCGCTCCACCCCGCATGGGGGCGTGGCAAGGCGAACGCCGCGGTGGGCGCAGACTGGGAGGGTTGCACCCAAGCAAAGAACGCCAGGGCAGAGACGTAGAGGGCGCTCACCCTGGAGATCTTTGTAATATACCCTTTTGCATATAGTGATAGTGGTTTTGTTATTGTTTCGAGACGTAGATGCTGCTGATGATGGCAATAAGTAAACCAGTTACGGTAGGAAAATACTTCCGCGTCCATAGTACGTGAGAAAATAGTGGTCATAGTTTTGTCATGAGCTCTTTTTAGCACTCTACTTTGTCCCTAGTCAGTTCTATGCTTCTGTTACCGGTTGGCGAATCCCTAGATCAACTAGGAACGTCACCTAAAGTTCCCTTTGTACTCATAGCGGCTGTATTTACCATATAAGTATATTCCTCTGATGGTGCCCCAGATAACGAGTTCTTCTTGAATCATGGCTTTCGGGAATACTGACATTACCCTGGATCCATAAAGCTTGCTGCTCTGTGGGACTCCTGCACTGTTAACTGGAGTATCTGGGAGAATCACGAATGTTGGCCGGGAGAAGGCATGATTCTTCAAGGTCAAGATGACAATTCCCAACCTTCATGGAAATCATGACATTTGGGAGCAGAGCGAAAGACGAAATCACCGGGGTGATGACAGTGGGCCGAGGGGCACATTTTTTACCTGGGGAATCTTCTTCCAGGGAACCTAGCTCTTCAGCCGGAGTCGGCTATGAACTATTAAGGATGCCTAAAGTGAGAATCCTTAACGAGGGAGTCGTATTTGCCTCTGTGAAAATTTTCGGCTGTTAACTTTTCTCTGATAAATTGTTCCCGTTTCAAAAGTCCTTTACAGGTCCTTTTCCCTCGCTCCCCTTTCCACGCTCAACGGCAGTTTCTCGGGATAAACTGGGGATTCTGTGAAAAAAAACTTGGAAAAATGGTGAGGAACTGTAGAAGTAAAGGAAAATGGGAAAATGGTAGGAAGGATAGGAAAAGGGAGATGATCGCACCAAAGGAGGAAGCTATGAGCGTGATCGTGTTTTGCGAATTCCAGAACGGCTACTTCCCTTTCTGATCTTCCTCAAGCCACTTACACTAACCCACAATATTCGCGTTCGGGGGTAGCACTGAAGGACTCCCTTGTTCGAAAATTTGCAGTGCTCAGAAGATGAAGACTTTTGGCGAAGCCTAGGGAGGGAAGGCGTGATTGGACCAACTTTGTGGGTTCCAAGGGGGATTTTGCGTTGAACCCCAGTTTGAGCACGAAGAGCCCTAATGTCCCCTCAAAGGCGAACAGCGCCAATGTTCTTCGATTTTCACCCTCTACCAAATAGAACCTACAGCCTGACTTTCTCCATGATCTTTCCCAGCCCACTCTGTCTAAAGGATTCTTCGCAGCCCAGGAGGAAGGATATCACTTCATTAGGGGTATCATAAAAGACCTATTAAGATACTTATCAGTTCACGTGAACAGCACGTGCAATGCACGTGATTAGCTTCAGCCCCGTTGCACGGGTCATTTAATTGGGCCCGTGATGAGCGATGATGGCGGCCGCTGTATGAGGAGGGTTTAGGCCTTAATTCACCCACAGATACGACGGCATTGACAGGTCATCGCCGAGCGGCGATGCACACATAATATCAACAGTTTACTATTTGTTTACTTACTTACCGATCCAATCCGTTCGTTCGTATCGAAAGTAAACAACCGTAATGGTACTGCAACGGCAATAATAAGTGAAAGTTTGAGTCTGCTAGCCAGGGCACCTTGTACGTTGGGAATCCTCAGTGAGGGGGTGGGGGAGTCGTATTTAGTCGCTGGAAGGAGGACGCCAGTTTTCACTTCAGTGAGATGTTTCTGGTTGGATTTTGTCACCTTTCCCTATCTCATGTGCGCTAGATACTTCGCCGTATTCCCTTCGTTAGCGCCTCGACGCACTTTTGAGGAAAACTTTTCAAGAAGGTAAGGATTCTTCGAACACACTCTGGAAGTCGGGTAGTATGGAAGAATGAAAAGGAGGTTCGTCACCAGAGCACGAAGATCTTTGAGGGGTCTTATTTAGGTCGGCAAGATTTTCTCAACGGGAATTGCCCTGTTGCTAGTACTAACACTTAAGGACTTAGTGCTGGGGGTCGTTAATTTCGACGTGGCATAGAATTCTCTATGATCTTTCCTTGAGGCTTCGGAAATGGAAGGGTTTTCGCAGTCCTCATTCTGTCTTTTCTGTATGGATAACAAACCAGTCTTCGGAGCCTGGCTAGTATAGAACTCTAATCTAGTGGGAGCTCTGTTCAGCACAAAGAGATTCTTCCATTCGTTTGCTCGAGGAAAACTTTTTTATTGTCCTCCGAGGATCGCTATCAAGGTTCGCCCTCCTTCATGATTTGAGGGCTCTTCGAGGGATACGCCATGCATCCCGCTATCCTTTTTGTTCGTGTAGGTGTTGGCCAATCACTGTAGGGACCACAAAGAGGGCTGACGAGGTGATCTTTGGTGGGCACGATAGCGAACTTTGTCCCGAAAGAACTGGTTCTGCCCTTTCTCAAGAAGGCGTTATCAGCGCCAATGATCTTCAGGAAACCTGCCACAAGTTATATGCCTGAATTGGTCCTCGAAAGCTGTATTTCTGAAGTAAAACATGCTCATTCGACAACGTAATTGATCACTTTAAGGTGCGCCATGCACCTTAGTACCTATCGTGGCATCTCGAGGGATTACATGGTTTCTGGCGGAGAACCTTCCTTGCTTGTAGTAAGAAGGTGTGGAAGTCCTGCAAGTCCAGCCATAGCAACATCTTCTTGTTTTTTTTCATGGTACTTTAGAAGGCAGTGATTGACCAGTGGTTGTCCTGGCACGGCCAATAATAGAAATGCTCAAGATACTAGTAGTACTAGAGTACTGGTTAATTTGGCTCACGTGATAACTATTTTTAGGAAGGAATGATGATCTTCGACCCACAAATAAAAAGAACTGTTAAAGAGAAGGACGAACTAGTTCAAAAGACAAGGCCAAGTGCCCTTTCTGGCCGATTCCGTTCCACGTCAGGGAGCAAAGATTGTTGACGTTCGGGAAGCCGTTCGCTGGTCCATGGACGTTGTTATCGACAAAAGACCGTTCCGAGTAGCACAGCTGGCCAGGTGGCAGATGCCCGCGCTCCGCAAAGTTACTCTAAAAACCAGCTTTGTCCCAGTCGGAGGCCTTCAGGGAATGAATTCAGCTCGATAGCCGAAAGGAGTCACTGGGCAGCTCCCTCCTGCTAAGCCGTCCGAGCATTGCACTTCGGGAACTGCCTGAAGTTCCCGAAATTCTCCTATGAAATCTTGACGACCCCTTCCAAAAAACGAAAGCAGAGCTCACCATCCCTCGTTTGCAACACAGCAGGGATCCTATTTAACCGCGCGGTATTTCACTATGTGGTTTTTTTTTGGTAGCCAATTTTTCCACTTTCACTCGACTACCTCTTGGTGGGCCTCAAAACTGCATTTTTGAGTGTTTCTCGGAGGCATTCTTGCAGATTCATTTCCTGCCCCTGTGCTAATACCCGTGACTTTGCACCGCTCCGCATAAGTGTAACCCATAACCCATACATGGACCCAGCTAAACACCGCGCTTATGTATTGTTCGCAGGTTGTAATGTAGAAAATAAACAATGCACTTTGCTTGGAATGACCTGCTACTTACAAT